TTATCTCTTCCTTTTCCTCCCTGAATTTATTCAGTATACCTACTGAATGATCATGATGATTAGTTTCCATTATCATGATTTCAGATTAAGTTGATTGAGAGTTTTGAGCTGAATGTTACGACAGAACTTTTTGTTTACCTGTTTGTTTGTTTTGTTTTCCTTATGAATGTAATTCCCATTATCAGATGATGATGATCAACTAACAGGATAACAAAGTGACAGAATCTCCATGAAAATCATGAGATTTCAGGGATGAACTTTGAAAATAAAGCAAATAATCTAACCCAAAGAAGTGAATAGAAACAATTGAATGAAAATGAGAAACCATTATCATTGGAATAGCGAGAAAAAAAAACAGTTACAACCATTTAGAGTCTCAATTTAATTCAGTTGTTTCCTTATCCCATGTTACCTTTATCATGTTGACTGAAAGGAAACAGAAATAGTAAAAAAAAAGGTAATGATAATAAACGATCCAAATAAACAGGGAAGTTGGAATACAAATAATCAATTGGATTGAATGAAAATTTGGAAACATCACTGATTAAGAAGTTAGAACTTTTCGAGTTCGAGCAACAGAAGAAAGGAAAAGATATTCGAGAACTTGAATCAAGGAGGTGAAGGGATCGAAAAAAAGTTCTAATCATAATCCATTCACATTATTCAGACAATCACTTGATTAGTTTCAAAGTTTCACGTTAATTACAATTGATTGAATAATAGATTATCATTCATTTAAACTGATGAGATGGTAAAGGTGAACAAGTTGAAGTATTTCAAATTGAATGTTGATTAGACTGAATCAAACTGATTAATGGGGATAATAGATTCTGATGATGATAATCAAGGGCTTTTTGAAGATGATCAAAATTGTTATCTTAAGGAAAACCCATCATCATGAAGTATTATGGTGATGAAAATGATGGAACCATGAAGAGGATGGAAAATGTTTGAATTTGAATTACTGGAAACTGAAAATATATTGTTAACCTTTTTTATCCAACCAACAATTCTGATTATCGTTATTACCTGAATCAATAGTAATAGCGATGATGATCATGATGATGATCAGAATTACAAGCATAATAATGATGAGAAAAAAAATTCCCATAGAAATGAGATTTCAGCTGAAAAGACTCAATCGATTGATTCAACAAAATCTACAACAACAACATCTCAGTTATAATCATAATCATCTTCTTCCCTTGCCATCATCATCATCATCATCATCGTCATCATTACCTTTTATCAAACTCTAATCACGTGATCACAAAGAAGATTATCTTTCCATGGAAGATGAACAGAAAACCAGGGGGAATGATGATGATGAAACTTTCAGCTTATTCAGTTGCATTTCCTCATGGAATACATTCTGAGACTGAATTTATGATTCTCATCATAAACCATCATCTTCATGACTTTCTCCCTCTCTCATATTGCTAATCATTATTAAAACAACAACAACAACAAACATCATCTTCAAGATTTAACATCATCACAACCATTATCATCATGTAAAAATCAGAGTAATCACCAGAATCAGAATCAGAATTAACAATTTAACCCAATAAACAAAAAAAAATGTTTTCATATTTTTGGCAAGATAAGGAAGGATAAAAGTCACTAATCCTCACTTGACCAATTAGTTTGATCACTTGACCAATACTTATATGCACCAGAATCAATCAATCAATTAATTATTACTACTCAATCATAATCAATTGTTTATTATTACATTCAACAGCAATTATCATTATGAAAAATCAATAAAATTGATGATATTGGTCAAATAACGTAATCATAATAAAAGATAACGGTAAACTTTTTCCTCATTTCAATAGTTTATTATTATAATAATAATAAGTTAACAGTTAACAATAAACAAGTTAATTAATGTTACAAGTTAATTTAACCGATTCAGGTAAATTGTTTCCATGTTTTATTGTTTACCTTTGAGAGTTGAACTTGATTTTGTTTTTCCCTTAAACAGTGATAATAATAACAATCAACTTCAATGGTATACAATCAACAATCAACAATCAACAATTAGTTGATAATAAGCTTTGTAAAAACAAAAATGTAATACACAAAACTTTTAAAAGCAAGTTAACAAGTTTCAATGGTCATCATCAGATTAAACCAAGTGTAAACAACTGACCAATGGACACACAATGTTTAATGTACAAGGTGAACCTTTTATATACCATCAATGTAATGGTCAGTTAGATTGTGATATTAACTTGACCATCTAGTAAAAGTGATGAAAGATTAACAATGATAAAATTAAATCATCTCTTAATCAAGTAAATATAATAGTCTCGTTAATCATTTTTGCTCATCATTAACTATTGGATTAAATTAATGATAAATCTTGAGCCAGGAAACAATTTATTATCATCTTTAAATCAACATTAACAATCAAATTAAAATAATAATTTAATTAATGTTGTAATAGTTTTAATATCCAATTGATTAAAGTTTACAATTAGTTTCACTTTGCATTTTAAATTGTTAAATCATTCATTAATAATCGGATATTAATTGTGAAAATGAGAAATAATATTAAGTCATCAAGTTAATTATCTTAATAATAATGATAATAATTGTAATTAATAATAAGAGAAACTAAATTCAGGGTTAATCATGAACTGATTCTGGTTATTGGCTGAATGATTTACGTTAATTAAAGTTGATTATGATGATAAACATTAATATTAACCAGAATTGACACATGATTGAGAAAACTGAATAGACTTACATTGTTTACATCTAAATCATATAATAAATCATGATAATTAACTAATGACAATGATTCATATTTTATCATTAACAGTTATTCATGATGAAAGTTGTGGTGGTTATAAAAAGGATAACCAAAATGGGCTTATGAGGGTGGTGGTAATAATTATGACAAATAATAAAACTGGAGGCAATCAGGATTATTTGACTGTCCACAATTAAAGTTAATTATTTTCATTGAAATGATAAAATTCATGTTAGAAAAGTTTGACTTTTCTTTGATTAAGAAGTTTTCAAATTCAGATCATGATTCATGTGATGGATTCAATTCATAGACTCTCAGATGAAATTCATCATCAATCTCATCTTCCACTTATCTTCTCTCTCTCTCTCTGTCTCTCTCTCTCTCTCTCCGTCTGCCTTCAAATTTTCTCCTCACCACAACCTCCACCACCGAATCAAACCATTAATGGTAATGATGGAAATTGGATAAAAAGATGAGGTAGAAAGAGAAATGAAGAGAGAGAGAGAGGGAGAGAGAGAGGAAAATATAATCTGAATGACAATCTTTTTCTTTCACCATGAAAGAATATGAAAATTACTGAATATTACATTTTTCTACCCACTTTCCACCTTCAATCTCTCCCAGCCCTGAGTAACTTTCATGATAATACACTTGATAGATTTTGGGTAATAATTTATTTCATATTTGAAAGCTTTATCATGTTATTATTATTATCGGCATCAACATAAAGTGGACTTTAACTTCCACTCTCTTGATAACTTTTCCCACCCAAACACTTTTCAATTCATGTTAATTTTCATGATAAATTCAAATAAGTTTACCTGAGAAAAGGTCTGAGTTACCAAGTTAACCTTACACCTTGTTGTAGATATTTTTATCTCTTCAATTTTCATTTCATATTCATCATTTTTTCACATCATGATAATACATTCTCAGCATCCATCATGAGTCCAGAATTTTTTTCTTCCTCAATCCAAAGGTATGAGAAAAAATTTTCAGAATTTCCATCTTATTATATTATCATGATATAATTTTATTCAAAAATATTGACTCTCAACAATCACCATCTTCAAAACTAATTGTGCATCACAACAATCAACTAATTTATCAATCTTTTCATATTGATATCACAACAAATTGTTGATCACAATTCCGCTGATTGTTGTGATTTATATTAAAAAGTTCATCTAATAATAAATACAGGGAATGATTAAATTCTGATCACATTTCCAAAATATTTTATCAGGGTGGCAACTATTCACCACCCAATCTCTTTGTGTTCAGCATTTTAATTGTTCATTATTATAATGTTGATCATCGTCATGATGATCAAATCAAACGATAAAGACAATACAATGAACCACGAGAAAAAAAAATCATATTGAACATTTGAAATCAATTCCACTCATGAAATTTCAACTCACTTTGATTTAATTCAATCATCAAGCTTATCACAATTTACACTTTTTCATCATAATCTGACATTTAATTATCATCTCAATTCACCCTGACCGATTCCCTCAGAATTGAATCAATTTTTTTTCCAACATTTCGGTTCCCTGATTCAAGTAAAATTCAGTAACATGATCTATGAACAATTTCACCAAGAGTTTATGTTCACATGATTAAACATGAATACCTTGTTCATGATACATCTTATCATGAAGAAACAACTTGGAATCATGTTTATTTTAAATCCAAGTGAAAAAAACAATTCACTGAATTCAGAACTTTTATTTTCTTCACTTCGAAAAATATTTCCACCCAAATTTTGACCGATAACTTTTACTAATCATCAGCTGAGTAGTTAACTTAATGGGCAATCATTTAAATGATATCTGGTTAGTTAATTGTTGCGGTTGAAAATTTTGTTTAACGTCATTAATTTGATTCACCGGGTCACGTAATAATTAGTAAATTGTAATTAGCTTAATGATAATATAGACAAAAATTAATGGTAAACTCGTTGATTGTGATCAATTTTAATTTAGTATAATTTATTTTTTTTCAGTTGATCATAATTATTATCAACTAATTACAATTAAAAACAGTAACCTATCAACAATTAGTGGCAGAGTTACAATTATTATTTTGGTATCATCATCGTTGCGTAATTACAGTTGATCAATAGCACAATTGCTTAATTGTATTTATCAAATGAATAGCAATTAACAATAACCATTGACCTTAATTTTTAATAATTGACTCTTTTTTTTTTAATTATAACGATTAACAGGGAAGCAAAAAAAAGTTAATGGACTTTAATTTGCTCTGCTTTGGATACAATTAACTGTGGCCAACAATTAATCATGAGACGCTGTTAATCAAGAGGAAAAAAATGACAATCTAATCCTGATTACGATAAACAATCAGTTAATCAATCAAATTACGGGTTAATAACAACCAGCAACAATTAACAGAGGAAAAGATCCAATTGATTGATCACAATGAAGGTAATTAAACTAATACAAGTGAAATTTTTTCTCGAAAAATTTTGATAATCAAAATCAAACTGAATCATTGAATAGTTGATGAGATATTTTATCATGAAAAACTCATGAATTAGCTTGAAAATTGAGTGGGAGGGAAAACGTTGGTAAGGTATTAATAGAAGCAACAAAAAATGATAATCCCTTTTCTGGATCTGATTCATTTACTGAATAACTAATCTGGTGAACACTTTCATGATCATCATGATTGATTCTGAAAGAGCTCGGGATTTATAATATAACTCAGAGGGTGGTAAATGGAAACAAGTTCATTGAGATAAAATTGTAACCATCTTATGATCAATATTGATTGACTGAATGACTCAGTTGATTGTTATTATTATACATTGAAACATTAATTCTGGTTGAAAAGTAATGAGTATTATCATGGTTACCTGGATAATAATAACTTATTATTATTACAATATCATCAAATATTAATATCACATTTTCATGCCCACCCTTGTAAACTCCCACTCTCCCTATCACCATATCCATCTGTTCATTACATGGTGATGAGAAAAGGTTTCATGACAGAATTTCATCTTTTCTTTGTTGAACAATCATGAAAATTTCAAGAGCAGAAACTAGAGAGAGAGAGAGAGAAATTTCCAACACAAATCATGAACTTTTCTTATTCTTACCTGTTCATTGTCATGATGATTTCTCAGTATAATACATGACAAAGGGTTGACATTTATCTCCATGTGCTTGGTCACCTCATTTCATTATTTTTCTTCATCATCATGTATTAGATTTTCATTTGAATACCATTATATTAAGAATCCATGATAGATTGACATGATTTTGAAAAGAAAAAAAAATCTTAGTTCAGATTCTATTCTCTTTTTTTTAACTTCTCTCGTCATATTATCATGAGAATGCTGAACAAAGAGAAGATAATAGTTAGAGTGATGATAAAGTAGTTGGAGGGAAGAAAAAAATTGAGATGATAAGCATTATATTAATGTTCACTCTTTGATGATAATATGAATTCATACTTGGCCCAGAGTCTTTCGAATGGTACAGGAGAGAGAGAGAGAGAGAGAGAGAGAGAGAGAGAGAGAGAGAGAGAGATATATACCATGCGAATGAATTTAACTCCCACATGAGTTTCACTTTTTGCTTCTCGATTTAATATCGAATCAACTCTTTGTATCTTCACCAGAAAGAATCTCAATCTTACCCACCCATTGATTTCCTTTCTTCTCCATTATCATCCGAGTCTCATCATCTTCCATCCTCAGAATTCATCATTATAAGGTGATCTTTTAACTTCATCTTCTCATATACAAACAATCAGTTAGAGTCGTTTGACTTTTTATCCAACCAAGTTTCCACTTTCTCTGATAAAACAAAGACATGAAAATGACTTTTAGTGGGTCGAAGGGGAAAGGCTTATACCAGAGTAGAATTTCATTTTAAAATTCTGTAAAGAACTTGAAGAAAAAAAAAATCTAAACCTCTTAATGGGTGGAAATTGTTGTAACCCTGAAATCTATGGATGACTTGGAATCGTTTACAGAACTGTGATGATCCATCTCATGGAATAAAAGCAAACAAGCTCAAAGAAAGATGAAAGAACGAGTTTTTCTTTTTATCTTGGGCTTCGAAATTCATTTTTGTTACATCATCAGATTTCTATTCTCACGGTGGTGTAAATAATGTCAACTGAACATTATCTCCTTTTCTTCCGGAATCATTGAGAGAGAAAAGTCCATCGGACGAGGAGTCAAAGATTTTTCTATCAGTGAGCTATCAGAGATTGGAAATAGTTACAGAGAGAATGGGAAGAAAATGTCAAAATCAGAAAGGAAAAAGACATGATAGATTCTGATCATAATCATCATCATCTGCTACTCATCATTTTTTAATCTTTTCAAAGTTCTGGAAGGAGAAAAAAAAAGTTCTGTCGAAAGAAACAAAAAACAGTGAGAATCGAAAACGATTTATATCCATGAAACTATTCCCGCTTTCCAGTATCATGAGTTTTCATGGTGATACCATCAAATTGCTCAGTGAGAGTTAAATGTTACATTCAATTTTATTTCATCTTCCTCATTCTCATCCTGAGTCTTAATTCATCTTCTCTATCCCATGGGAGCCCAATTTATGTCACATCTCCCCCTGCCATTTCAAAAATCTCATCATCATCATGGTGATAACAATCAAAATGATAAAATTTATTTCTCTTCATATTTTCATCATGATTATCCTTTTGCATCGTTAGTTTTTCATTTCTGACCCAATCTCTCATCATTCATGGTCTTACATTGATACAAATTCTTGTTTCATGATAACATTTTATCTCTCATGATGAATCCCAATATCTTATTCAATTTTCATCTTTTACTATTCAATATCTTTTCTTAACTCTAAAAGATAATAATGAAAAGAAATTCATTCAGAGGTATTAAATCATCTGTGGAAAAGTTTCCATTCAACTTTTTTGTTGCTTATCATTTTCATCACCATGAAAAATTTCATCTTCATCCTTTTCCTTTTCCGCCAATGAGTCAGTTTCAATGTAACAAGACAACTATTCAAAAAGTTCAGGTAATTTTCACCATCAAAAGGTTTCTCATCAATTTGTCTTCCTCTTTTTTTTGCTCTGACGATGATAACGATGACAATGATAGAGAGACAGTTATTGTTAACATTGAAAACAAGGCCCAAGCAAAAAAACAGTTACAATTTGTTCAACAACAACATTGTTATTACATCAACACATCAAAGGTGAATCAAAATGTTTCATTCATTATATATATCTTTGAATCTGAATCGTCATGAAAACTGTTCAGTCTTTTCAACTCTCATGATAATATTATTATAACAGTTTCAAGTTACGACTGAAAAAGACATCATGTTAAACATGGTGAACATTTTTTGTTGACTGTCAATCTACCCGGAAGAGAAAATCTTTTCAAGAATTAGAACTGAAAAGGAAAATAAAAAAGTTCTAATGAAAGAAAAAAAAAATTTTTAGCTTAACTTTTTCTTCGCGCTCGATTATTCAAATCTACCATTCAATTAAAGCTAATTGGTTACTATTAAATGGGCTGATTTAAAGTTAACTTAATGGTCAATTTAACTATCGTACAGTTGAAATTTACTTCACAATCAATTTAATCAAAGAATATAAGCTTTAGGTTAATGTTTGTGTTTCCATTTCATTGAGAAATTATTAGCAAATTTAAGGAATGAAATTTAAATCTTAAATCGGGAAAAAGACGCTATTATCAATCAGGAAAGATAATCAATATCATTCTGGTGAATTTCAAATGAGATGAAATCTTTTTCTGATTAATATCATGATGATATTATTTATGAACGACTCATGATAATGATGTGAAGAGGGAAAAAAACAAATCAGGCAACCATTATCATCGTAATGGATTGAATAAGTTCATTTGTAACACCCAAAAGAAAATGATTCATATTATGATCATGATAATGATCAAGATTCTGATCAAGTTCATTTCTATGGTAACAATCAAGAATAACAATTTAAATCTCTAAAAATAATCAAGTAAACGCCTTGACAATCAAAACTTTTGTCTTGACTTTTGATGGCAAAAATAAAAAATGTCAACTACCAAACATAATATGATGATAGAATTGATTAAATTTAAATGTTCAGGCTTTTTGATTGTTATTAATAGTATTTGGAATAACATTGAACTAATTTACTGGATTCCAAGGTTGACTAATTAATGTTGATTAAGTTTATTTCAAAAGTTTGGCTAATTGTTGTTGTTGTTGAGTTGTTTCTGCTGATGAAAGTTGGAAGAGGCAAAAATTGAGCTCAGCTCTTGTTTTTTATGGGTAACACTTGATCAGCTGTGAGAAAACAAAAGTTTATCATGGTGATGATAAATTCTGGTTCAATTCATTTTTCTATCATGACATTCAATCATAATCAACCTCCTTCTTCATCAACATCATTTTACTCCCCACCTCATGATACCTCATCATCTCTTGTGTGTTACCTTATCTCTTTATCTTCCTCGTTCCTGTGAATATTATCACGCATCATCTTCATCAACATAATCATCTCAGAATCAGAATGATGCTTATAAATGATAATATTTTTCAATGGAAGAAAAAATTTCTCCTCAAGATTAAGAGGTTTTCGTGTCAAGTTTCTTGAACACTTTCTCCCATTCCACCTCACCCACTTCTTATCCTCTCACTGTTTTCACCAGAATTATAAATTTTTAACATCATGGATCCTGAATTTTTCAGAACAAACTCAAAAAACAATCAGAATCACTTTCGAAAATAGACTGAAATTAAATTAACCATAATCATGGCTCAAGATGAATCCATCAAACGAATCGAGTTAGTTAATTGTTATAAAAATAATCAAAAGCAAAAGAAATAAAATTTTCTCAAATTACTAATCAATTGATCATCTCCTCATCATCCGTTGATTATAAATTTCAATTCAAATCGGAAGATCATCAAATAATTTCAATTCTGATAGTAATTCCGGCTGATTGTTATTTCATCGTTTCAGAATTACAATTAATATGATTATCCAGGTTATTCATGCAAGCAAATGAGAAACACAAATATTAATGTATTTTTCATGCTCAATTAAGTGACAATTCAGTTTTAATTCAAGTTAAATCACCACACAAAACAAGAATCATGTTTATATTTTATCATCTTCTATCATCATTACCTTCATTATCATCATCAGTCGAGTTATTATCATTATTAGAACTTTTTTTCATCTTTTTCTATTTTCGAAAGAAGCAAAAAAGAAAGAAAAAGCTTCGAATGTACTAATAGATATGGTTCGTTAGCAAGACAACTGAGAGATTTTCCCTTCATGTATCATGATAAAAGTTCATCTGACTTTCAATGATGATAATTAATTATTACGATAAAAATTTAGACCACTAATCATATTCATATAACATATTATCAACCATTATCATTTCCTTGTCCTAAATTGT